CGATCCGGCCCGATTCGTTGTCACGTTGCACGGGGAAATAAAGAATCAGACCCTTAGGCTAAAAACTAGCTCTCATTGGTACAAAACTAGGCCTGGTAACTGAATTTCAGTTGCGTTATATGGGCAGCTAATCTCATTTTTTGTATGAGAGAAAAATATTATGCGGTTCAAGCGTTCGGAGCGATCTTAGAGCGAAAGTTGAAAAAAAGTTTAACCTCAGTAAACGAACAAAAGTAAGCAAAAATAATAAAATTTTGCAAAATATGTCAATATTAATATAAATAAACAAGAAAGACAGAAAAGATTGTTTTTCTTGTTTATATTGACGTTAATATTAATTACTAATATTAATTATAATTCATAAATAAAGCACATTTTGCATTTATTGTTTCTTTACCGAGGTTAGGCCTGAAAGAGAATTATTTTAATTCGTTCGACGATCACTCCGTTCTTCAACATAAAATATTTCGTCTTTGTAACTATAGTTATTATAATAAAAGAATTATAATCAGGGGGACTATTTTTGTAGTAAGTGCCACTATAGTGTCACTATGGTATCAGTGATAATAATATTACATACATATTGTTGCTATTATTTTTATGGTTAAAACCATAAGAAGGATATAAAGTGAATGCAGATCGGTCCAGGATCCTAATGAATCGGGCTGGATTGGATACTATTAACTACTTAATTTGCAGAGCTCTTGATGCGACGCTCTCTCTGGACCTCTCGCTTTCGACTTCCCGTGCGAATGTGATTCCTCGCGTTTGCGCGAGGCGACTTTACGTCCGGAGGACCTCTGTTCAAGCGGGGGAAACGCATTAATCTCCTTCAATATTAGCAGACGTGGCAACCAGCGTTCGGCCAGTTGCTCCATTATGTCTGATTCATGTATCGGAAAGGACAGAAGATAGATGCGTTTCCGTGTGCTCTTCGTTTTCCACCATTAAAATTCCATTAAGCTCCCATTTAAAGTCTGTGTTAACACTCTCGTCCCGATATGAGAACAAAACTCCCGATTGTGCGGTTGCAATTCGAACGATTGCGCAACGATCGGCAAAGCACTTCTGCCGCGCCGGGATAAGCCACAAGATTGAGATCGAAGTGCAACAGCGAATTAATATATTGACATCTGGTAGGATAAAATTACGTTCTCGAAGGTTGTAGCCAAATAATTGCAATATTTACTTACTTTATTCAATACAACGATTGTGTTGAGCAAATAATATTCTTCAATATTAATGATATTTTGATAGTTCATCACGAAAAATAATTTAATAACTGATATTAGAGAAGAAAAACTAAAAACCGACATATTTGGTTTCTCGGCTCTAAAACCCCTGTTGAAGATATAGAATTAAAATTTAGGTGCGTGGATACAAACCAGCTGCACTTCTCTACCGAAATATATATGAGAGTCTTATGAAAATTGCTACATATTTCTTTGCAAAGAACTATTTATAAGATGTTTAAGAGTTGATTTTTCTAGAAACTGGTTCCTAAAACCGATATGTCCATAATACCTGTAGGAAATTATCAAAAAAGTAAAATAAAATAATTGAAATTACATTATTTGGTACATTTATTAAATTTCCACGTGCTTCAATGATCTCGCGAATTCTCCGTCGAGACTTCTACATGTTCGGAGAGTAAGAGAGAGAGGCTGGAGGCTGAACAAATATTGTCGAGAACTAATTGATACTATATCGACGCATTCGCATCGGATCATCGTTAGAGTGAAATTAGACGGGATTATCGGCGAAAGTGTCGGCATTATATCCTCTTCGAGTGATCTCCGTGCTTGCGGCGCGCGTCATGCAGAAAGGTGTACTTCTAGGACCCGCTCTCCAAGTGCATAGGGGTCGATGAGGGTCGAATTGTTCTCGTGATAAGTCCTCGAAGGTCGTTGAAAGAACGCGGACGACGCCCTCGTCTGTCGCGCGTCGTTCTTCAGAGGAAACGGCCTGACGGGGTCGCCGTGTGCGTGTTGTACGCATTCTCGGGATTTACCGACACTCTTTCTTTCGTCCTATCATTTCTCTCTCTCTCTCTCCTTCGAGAATCACGCGCTGTCACGCTTGCCCATGAATGGATGATCGTCACCGCGCGAACGCGCGCACTCGCGGCGGTTGGTTTACGGGTATGTCGCGCATCATTTAATATATTTGAATAATGGATGACGCGGCGTGTACTAAACAGGACGGTTAGAACTTGGGGAATAGTAGGAAACTATTAATACAGTAAGCAACATATACATATATGAATATGTAAGACGACGAATCCTTTGCGATGCAAATTGTTCGTGCGGTCCCGCGCCTCGGATTTACCATAATCCGCTATGGTTTATCGTTTCCCGGCGAACCGCCGGTTTCTGTTTCCTTCGTTCCTTTCTTTTCCCCTTCGCCCCTTCCCCCCTCCTCCTTTCGTTTCCATCCTCCTATTTTCTTTTTTTCTTTTCATCGAGGATATTTTCCGCGCGCTGAAAGCACGCGAGAAACGGAAACCACGTAAGCAACGAGATTTAAATAGTGAGAAAATCGGCCGATCACAATCGATTATTCTTTGATTATAAAGAGAATAATCGATCGACGATGGTCTTCATGTTAGTCTCGAGCATCGCTCGCCTCCCCGCCNGCCGTTATACGCGACGTCGTCTTAATCGGTTTACAGTACGTATTCCGATTCTGATTTCTGATCCGCTTTAATGGTATGCGAGCAACTAACGAATTATGTAAATACAGAGTTCGCAGGCTTTATTCGCGCTTTGCTCAGGCAGGAGGGGGGGGTGGGTGGGCTCTTGAGGTGAGGCTGCAGCTAGCGAATTCGCTCGGCTTGTCGGAAGACCTCCGCAGACGATGCACTCTCTCTCTCTCTCTCTCCCTCTCTTTCGCGCTTTGCCGGATTCGCTATTGAAAGTGGGACCGCGGTTTAAACCATTTCACTTCTGCCTTCCTATGATACGACTATTCCTGTTTCTCCCCGATACCGACTAACAACTTAAGCTCCGTAATAATACTCGAGTCTGCGAATTAGAGAATTTCAAACGCCTCTCTCTCACACACACACACACACACACACACACACACCCCGTTTTAATACGCCAAAAATCCTGACCAGAAATTGTCATCAGGTATACCTGTTACTGCACAGGGTCGTAACTAAGCGAGCGCAATCCTTCCTATGGTAATCCTTCCTATGATAAATCTAATAATATACTGATAAAAACTGAGCAAGGGAAACCTTCGTACGGTTATAATGATTATATATATATATATATATTATGACTTTAGCGTATTATGCTAGTATGCTATTTTATACAGTTTTAATAATCAGGTTCCTCCCGACATCTCACTTTATTTACACTGAGAAACTCATTTAGTTGAATCAACTAAATTCTCGTTCGACTGTGGGCGAACGCATTTTGCGGTTGTAAGAACCAAGCTTTAGTTCTCCGAACCGTAAGCTTGTTTCTTACAACCGAAAAATTTGCCCACAGCCAAACAAGAATTGAGTCGATCCGACTAAATGAGTTTCTCAGTGTATAATGAATCTTGATTAAAGTCCTGATTACCACGCGGCGTTATGACTTCTCAGCGAAGGACCCGATAACTAGTTAAGCCGAACTAGTTAACTCGAGATAGACGATGGGGGGGGGGGGGGGGAAAATTNTCCAGCGGCGGAATGATCCGCCGCCGCGTGGCGAATAAAGTAGCGGACAAGTCGGGAATCGTTCGCGCAGGACGAACGTGAGGGAATTTCTAAACCGTCGGACACCGCACGCCGGACGACGAGCAAGGGTTCTGCGCGATGACGGAAATTGTATTATTTAAATCGCGAACGAGGAGCGCGCGCGCGAGCATAACGCGACGACGGCGGCAAAGTCGGTCTCGCGTGTCTCGCATTAATATTGGATAGACACCCGGGGCAGATGTATCGCCGAGTATAGCCTTCGAAGCAGAGGGCGATAGTTCAAGCCGCTTTAATGCGTCCCCGGGACACGCGCGCGCGCATCCCTTATGTCCCGTTGAAATTCGCTGCGTGGCGCGCGCGACCATGCGTGAGTTCTCGGATTATATCAGGCGTTTATTTTCTCCTTGGGTGACCGTACTCTGTTGCGAGTGTATACGCTGAAGCGTGGGATTACGGGGCTTTAACGAGCGTCGCACAATGTGGGCGCGTGCGCGCGCGTTCCCCCGCTCGCTCGCGTCGCCGCTATCCGAACATCCAATTAATGCATTATAAATCAACAATGTAGTTACAAATTCTGTCGCTCCCTGACGCTGAATTAATTATCGCCGAGAAATTTCGGGGGTCAGAGGGGGATAGACAGAGAGAGAGGGAGAGAGAGAGAGAAAGAGGGCGAGAGGGCTGAAAAGATGTTATCGACGTTGCGACGTGATAAAATCTATGATTTTTGGGGAGATCGGGGGGAGGGGGGTGACACATTTCGCCTCGAAATTGGCGTTCGCTGGAAGTGTGTAGCGCACGCTCGTGATATTTTTTGATACGATATTTTCCGCGTATCGCGCCGTAGTGATTTGTAGTCGCGCGTACGCGCGCGTATACGCGCGACAGCAAATAATTTTATGGTGTCAAGAGGATACTTTTATAAAAATTCTTTACACACTGCAACAGCACGCCGTTTGATATTTCACGTTTTCTCCCTCCTTCTCTCTCTCTCTCTCGCTTTCTCTTTATCAAAGCAATATTCGAAACATACAAACGCGTAATTGAACAGATACGCCGTTCAAAGGCGACGCTTTTATTGCAGTCGAAATCAATTTTTTGATTTCGGCCGTTGCCGCTGTTTTGCTTCTTTTGCTACTATTTTTTTTTTCAGTTTTATTTCCCTGTTGTGTTTTGGAAATGAAGATTGCGCTCGATATGGCACGCGCGCTCGAAAAAAAAAAATGACACGAGCGGATTAACAGTTCTCTGGTATCGCTATCGTTTCCCTCATGACGGACTGTGATTTCTATCAGGACTGTTTCTATTTTAGTTTCCGTGCTGTTTGACGACACGCGGTCACGAAGCATCGCGCATATAAGGTGCATACTGAAAGGTACGCGGACCATATGATGTTGTACACGCGTGCGGATTTTGTTGCTGCGGATGCTGAACCGCTGCCAGTGTTTTGTGACTGCTGTGTTCTCTAACTCGCCATTACAGTTTGGATTGTTTCCAGCTGATTCCTCGGGGCGTGAATTCCGACGTAGAGGCTCCCGGTTTTCAGTTTCGAAGATAACGCGGAAGAATTGGGCATAATGAGACGCGATGAGTGCTCAAATGGGATAGAAAAGAAAGAAGTAGAGTTTAGGTGGCGCGCGTGAGCGTTGCCTCTCGCTTTTATATGTGTGTGTGTGTGTGTGTGTGTGTGTGTGTGTGTGGTGTATAAATTTCTCATTTATGTTTCCATTTATGTTTCCACCGTCATGATTTTCATCTAATCGACGATTAATACAACGAAATTGACCGGTCGCATTGGCCAATTAGCTAAACTGATCGATGCGATTGGTCAATCTCTTCGAATCAATCGACGATTGGATTTAATTCAAGATGGTAGAAACGGGCATTAATGTTTTATCGAGGTTTTGAGTGTTGACACGTTTAGCGCGGGAAAAGTGCCACACACGAGTTACACGGGGGCAAACTTGTGTATTTTGCAATTCCCTCTTCTCTCTTTTTATTCCTCCAATATCCCGCCCGACTTCTCGAGACTGCAGACGCCAGTCTTCTGTTCGCTTTTACCTCGCGATTTTCCCTTAAATAATACTTGTAGAAAGAGAAAGAGAGAGAATTGCAACGAGTCTGATCGTCCGTACGCCGCACAAATTTGACATTAAAGCCTTCCGCTGTGCTTAACAATTCAACGCGTCCCGATAACTCGACGGCTTTCATTATTTCGAATGCAGGTGCGCTTTCGCGGATCGAAGCAGCTTGCGACGGTATCATCCCCGTCTACCGTCGAAAATATTTTACTCGAATAATCGGAATCGCCTCTACGGCCAGCTCATTTTTCACGAACGAGCACTTTTATCCAAGAAGTGACATCCTCGCAGAAAAAAAGAGGGAGAGAGAGGGAGAGAGTGAGGGAGAAAAAGGGAATGAGAATAGAACCGGCTTAAGCTAGTGGCACGCGGAAAAACTTAAGCAGTAAAGAAATTGGCCAACCAATCGGTATATTCCTCAGGCTTATATATTCTAAAAGGCTTATATATTCCAAGAGGCGATAGAAGTGACGATAAGTTCGGCTTTAAGCAGAAGTAACTAGAATTTCAACTTGTTGGTAAATTTCCTTACTACTTAAATCTTGTTGCTTATGTTTCCTTTTTTTCCTATTTGTGCTCCCTATAACTTTACTCAGTTCGCGAGCGACGAAATGAAGTCGCTCACGCGACTTTCGCGCGGGCACTGGCGATAGTCGACGTTTCCTTCCCTGGAGAGACCGACCTCTACGACGATACTTAGAAAGTACAATAACGCCCTCTCAACATGCCGTTCGTCCGGTTGATGTTGCAGTCACCAAGCTGAGGGAGCACTGGGACGAGACAAATTCAAAAGTCATGCAAAGGAAGACGCAGCTGGACGCGATGCTCGGGGACAGTCAGCGATATGAGGCCAAGAGAAACGAGGTGGAGGTCTGGCTGGCCCGGATGGAAACCCGACTCGAGAGAATGCGAGCCGTTGGACACACCGCCGACGTACTCGAGGCGCAGCTCAGGGAACAAAAGGTACGGCCGAAACTTTCTTCCCTCTCCCGACTTTCTCCCCGCGTTAGCTCTTCGAGACGGTGGGTTTTTAGCGCGCGCGTGCGTTTGAAAAGTGCCTTTAGCCGTAGACAGCGAGGTGAAAGACGCGGGTAAGCGCTGCAAAGGCACCCGGTGACACCTTCCGTTCGGTCTGTCTTCGCTCCGTGTCGCGAACGTCACGATGATTTTCCATCGAGACCCTCCGATATCGCGACAGATTCACGCAAGTCGTGTTGAAGTCGCCGGCCCGTAGATTTATTTCGTTAGGAAGCACTTTGGCGACGTTTTGTAATCGAAACGCGATCTGCACTCGTGGAAAGTTGGAAGAAGATCGGTCGTTAATTAATTAACGTTGGTATTGCTTACATGTATCATAGGTAAGAGAACGGCTTTCGATATCGTGTTTTTAATTCCAGCGGCCAAATTCTTACTACTCTTACGATTTTGATGAAAAAACGGGAAGATGGTAAAAGGGATTTGTAAAAATATTGTAGAAATTACGAAATTATTGATCTTTGGTTCTTCGGAAGTTGTTATATAAAATACATAATTAATAATGGTTGAAGTATATAACAGCTATCCTGTAAAATTTTGGGAATATTGTATATATTTTGTTAATTTTGGGAATATTGTTAATATTGTGTTGGGAATATTATATTTTTCGCTGCGCCTCTTAGGCATCTTTTTAGAGACAGAATGGTTAGATGACCTTAAAAATCTCTAACCAATACGTGAAAATACGGAAAAGATTGAAAAATCTGACGTCACGATTACTTCTCCGTACTAAGAAAAAAAAAAATGGATAGGGTCGACGAAATTTTGCTTGAACGCATAAAATTTTTCCAAGCGCAACGTTTATTCGACATTTATTAAACAAATCATACAGTTGCTATAATGCGTTAGCAGTCGATTCAACGATTATTATTATTCAGCGATTTTAATTTAATATCAACGCGACGCGTGTTGCGTTAACGCGTAATTTGTCTAGCGGACACGGTGTTTTTTTAAACTAGGATGACTGCCGATTTTATCGATTCAACTGCTTTTTTCTCGGTATAATAGCGCGCGTTCGTGTGCGTCTATCTGGGGGTACGCGTGATATATTCGCAAACATATCGTACGTCAAAGCGGAAAAAAACGATTAATTCTATATGAGTTTTTAAACATTACGCAAACTTGATTGATATTCTCCCGTTGTAGCCATAAATCGTGTTTTTAAACATTCAGCACTGATTTGCCGAGCTTCTTGATGTATCAACCGTGATTTTTCTAATAGTATCGTCGCCAACTGCCTTAAATTCGCGAGTCGTTAAACAGCGTCGCGATGAATTCGACGTCGAAGCGCGTCGACAGAGTTGATTTTTCTGCGTCGTGTCATCAAAGTATCGCGAGGAGAATCCTTTTAAGATCTCGGAAGAGATCTCGAAACACACACACACACACACACACGCCGTTGGAAATAACGTCCTGTCGCCTGCGCAGTTTAAATGGACCGTCTGGTTTGGGTATCGAGAGCATTCCCCCTCTTTCTCGCCGCGTGATATATTTTTGTTGTTTATCGTTACCTTTTACGTCGCGGCTCATTTTACGCTATTTTTACGGCGGGATGTTTCGACAGCGCGTTTTTCATCTTGTATGCTGGCTGGTATCGGAACTACTAGGTGTGCCCGTTATCCAATATCACGTCGTCGCGCGACACCAGGAAAGCCTGTGAATTACCGTCCTCTTCGAATATAGTTAGGTGAAGGGGGGAGGGGGGTGGGTGGTGGACACGGGGAACTTTCTGCGTTACTTTTTGCATTAGAAAAATTATCTCGCCCGTTTACACGTAAGTATAGAGGGAGGGGGGAAACTCGGTCGCTACGGTTGCTACTGTTTCAGCATCCGCCGTAAACCGAGCGGGAGAAACGCTCGAAATCTCCTCTATTATACGATATATTTACGATATATTTACACAAGGCACGGGCGCGAGCGCCTGGGTGTATATCCGAAGTTAGCGGGGTGCAAATATTTTCCGAAGCCGCGCGGAACTTTTCCCATTTGTAAGCAGAATTAAAGAGAGCGGCCACTTTGAAATCCATCCGACCCTGGTAATAAGCCCTTTCCAGTAATCTTCTTCCACTTTGCATACGACGGTGTAACGCGCTCCGAGAGAGAGAGAGAGAGAGAGAGAGTGAGAAAGAGGGAGGGNGGAGAAAGAAAGAAAAAAAAAGGAAAGAGAAAAAGAAGGAGGGGGAAGGAGGTCGGTGAGGGGGAGCTTCCCAACATCTCAATCAGCGAGATCTCAGCCGACGTAGCGCATCACGCACGAGGAGCTCTGTTTAGATTCAAAAGAGCCAAATGAGATATTCATGGAATAATTTATTTCCGCGGGCTTCGCGTCGCCTTTGAGTGGAACGCATTTGCGGCGCTTCTTTTTTCGGACTCGCTGCGCCTTCTGTGAATGGGTCTCGAGATGAAAGCATAGTTCGACGTAACGTTCGAGCCGCTCCGAAGGAGGAGGAACGGAAGTGAGGGGGAGGGCGATTGGGTAACGTGCGTCCGGCTAACGTCTTATTTAATGTCGCTTTCACAGACGTTTATTCGCGGCTGCGTTCGTCGACTCGTGTCGTCGCTCGCCTGGCGGGAAACGCAATTATTTACGCGGCAGTCTTTTATCCCCCGGATAAGGCTTTGCAAGTTTGATCGGGACCAATCAGCGCCGACAGATAGCGCCGCGAGGAGAGAGCGGTTGCTCCCCCGCACGGTATATCGGCGCGAAACTTTAACCCCCCTCCCCCCCCCNGAAGATTTAACTTTAGAGACTTATCGAAAGTCTCGAGCGCAAAAGGAGGCTTCTTCTAACTCGATACGAAGCCCCGGAGTTAGATAAGTTTCCTTTTTTCGCTCGGCCGGCGGGCCCGTTCGCCCTCCCTCCACGATTTCATCTCGTTTTCTCTTCCCTCCCAGTCGTTCCACGCCGAGCTGCACCAGTACAAGCATCACATCGAACTTTTTAATCAGCTCACTCAGAAGCTGATAGCGGTTTATCAGCAGGACGATACCACGCGTGTGAAGAAAATGACGGAGACGATCAACCAGAGATACAACAATTTGAACACGAGGTAAGCGCGCTCGTCGTGTCGGCTCGCAGTGGTTTCGGGGAGGGCGAAAGTTCCCGGCCGAAACTCCGGAGTCTTGGTAAAAATTGAGTCTTTATACGTAGGAAATGTTTTCAGAGGAGAAAAGCAGCTGTTTGTAAGCGATTCAACATCTGTCGCATTTTCCTTTTAGATGAGCGCGAAATCACTCGATTCTCTTGCGATTGCGTTTTTCTTCTAAATGATACGTTATTTCATCTTTTTATGATATCCTCAGTATGAGGAATTTTGCATCATTTAGCCGAGTATTTTTATTCCCGGATTCTCTCGAAATCTCACACAGAGTCCGATAGGATGCGGATATGAGAAACGTTAATTATTTTCGAAAGGCGCAAAACAAATATAACTTGTTTTAGTAGTAGCGTATATATATGAACGTTGAGAATTATTATAAAACTTTTAGTTTTTTCTTTGGAAACTTTCGGAAATTTTCAAAACGTCTCCTGCAAGAAAAATAATTTTTGATCGCGAGGTTACGTTAATTTCAACCACCAGATCCAGTTGTTGCTTCGCTTCGGAAATAAGAAAAATGCGTCAAAGTGTGAAACTACTTGCTTCGAGGAATGTTTCTTTTAGCGTATTAAATATACAAATTGCCCCATCTTACTTTACTCATCTGAATTACTTAAAGGCAACGCATTTTAGAAAAAAAAATCATCACAAGAGATTCAAGATCTCACGATAAGTGAATACTTCACACAATTTTTCATATCGCAATAATAACGGAGATTTAAAGTTAAATCTAGCGATGACTTTTAAAATTCCTGGAAAATGCGTCAATGTTTCGGAGAGTTTTGGAATACTCGGAGACACTCGTTCCGTCTATTCTTCCGATGAGAAGATAGAAAAATGATAAATGATAACAATTTATGATTATTTCACCAGAGGACATAAGAAAACCGCGTTTATATAAATTCGCATTTGTATAAATAATTTGTATGAATAAATTTGAGAAACTTGAAAAAGTGAGTTTCGCCCAAGAAATACCTATCTTAAACCACTGTGCGTCCGTTTCTTTTTCTCCCTCCGCGGGGATTCCGCGCGACGATCCTTCAGACCGCGACGCAGCCCCCCTCGAACGAATTCGCGAACGCGATCTACTCGCTCCGAATCCCCGTCGGCGAATGCCGCTTATTAGAAAGCTCGCATAATATCTCGGCGAAGTTTCTCCGAATGACTTACCGTTTTATCGAACAGTTACTTCGCTATGTTTCATTCGCCGCCTTTCGTTAGCGAGATTTCCCTCCACGACGGAAATTGCGAAAACGGCAAGAGAAACCCTAAGAGGGGGGACGACGCAAAGTGCGATTGATAAATAATTCTCGCTGGAAATTTCGAGTTTGCCGACAAAGAATTCGCATGGGAGGGAGGGGAAGCATGCGACTTCCCCACGGGGAGGGTGGTTTATGCATATGCTGTACTGTGACTCGGGAACACACCATTGCGCGTTCATCGGTAGCGTCTCTCGAGTTGAAGGAACTCGGCCGCGGAATCAGACCGTAGATCAGGGAGTAGCGCTGTATCGACCGTTCCGTTTCCAGCATCATCAATCGGGGGAAACTGCTGCACTCCGCGATGAACTCGCTCCACAACTTCGACCGGTCTCTGGACAAGTTCTTGGCCTGGCTGAGCGAAGCGGAGTCTTCGATGGAGGGATTGGAAGCGGAAGCCGATCGACTCGGCGGACGACGGGATCAGGGCGCGCTCAGACGACCGCAACATCAGCTTAAGGTAAGATTGTCACGTTCACGCGAATCTCGCGACGAGCCCCGGCACGGTAACGTAATCGTTACGACGCGACGCGACCGCGAATGCGCGCCGTCGTTGTTACGAACGCTCGGCGTTGCCTCGCGAAATCTTTCCCCCTTCTTTCTTTCTGTTTCGCATCGAGAACGCGCGGAAGATGCTGAAAAGGTTCAATTCCAGGGTGGAATGACTCGAGGGATATCGGGAAAGTGTCAACAGATTCGATTTTCGAGTGAAATTTCCATTTGCCGCATTCGAGGGGGGAGAAATTATTCGTCGGCCGAATGATCGCCGTTATTGATTTCTACGTCCCTTCGTCAACGTTCTAACAGTGTTCGCATACCTCGAATTGTGTGATTGAGACGCCGATAAGGACGTTAACAATTAAACTGAACTTTTTCACTGACTCGGTATATCGAAACCGTTGTTACTCCGCGAAATTATGTTGGGTGAGTAACTTATTATATTTATTATCGTAATTTAACAATGAGTGTCCTGATTATAGCTCTTGAGAAATTTACGTTGAATATCTTGACGCGTGTGCGAGGAATTTGACGACTCCGTCCTCTTCCTCTTTCTCTCTCTCTCTCTCTCTCTCTCTCTCTCTCTCTCTCTCTCGTGCGTAAGAAATAGAAAGTCAGTTTAGCGAAATCGCGGCTTTGTAAATCGCTGCCTTCTCTTTAGACCCGAACTTCCTCAACGCTTCTCTATTTACTTGTTGCGTTTAACCGTATAATCGCATGAGTCGCGTCTAGGAAGTCGCGTGTGTTCGCAACGTGTTGCGCGCGCTGAAAGGGGCTTCACGGAGCAGTGCCAGATTAAGCAGATCGACTAGTAATCTCAAACGAACCCCAAATTGACTCGTCAAAGCATCCTCAAGCATAAAAATAACGCCCCAATATCCCCGGTCTCTTTTTCATCTATCTTCATTACTTTATTCATTACTTTGTTCATATTTCGTTAGTGAAACTGGTATACATTCCGCGACCGTGCGGGATTAAATTGCATTAAGATAATTTTGCCTTAAGCGAGAAAAAGCTTCGGGATTATTTAGTAACGCGCGAAAATGAAGCATCTAAAAGTGGGAAGATAATTGCTTTTTTAATTGTTTTACGGCGAACTCAATTAGGGGAGTAAACATATCAACTGCGTGTACTTTCGGCATAATCTCCGTCGGAAAACGAAAGAGACGTATCTGTTAGAGCTTAAATTCAAAAGATTCGTAAAAATTAAAATTTCTCGCGAAATACGTTGAATTAAAAGGGCCGTCCGTAAAATGACATTTGTGATCGATTGAACACCTTTGTTAAATATTCCGAAAGCTTTCCTTTCGTTCTCACAATAAAAAATAACTGTAACATTAACACGACATGCAATCTTCCTTTTCAGTTTATTTTTTCTCATGATATTGTCACTTTAATCCTACGGCTGTTTATTGATTGTTAAAATGAAAGGAAAATTTTTTTAATATCTCATAAATGCATCTCGATAACAGATGTCTCGTCGCGAATGTATTCTTTAATTGTCTTTTTTAGTGTCGAAAGATTTAATCAAATTATTCCGGTGTGGACGAGTTCGTGTGTTTGTTTTATGTGTGAATATGTGTTCGAGCGTATAAGTATAGAAGAAAGAAAAATTATTGTGGAATATTTTCCGCGTCCGTGTGTTAAGATCTTTAAGAATCTGCTATATTGATGCATTTTAACATTTTACACATATAGTTGAAATACACAGTAGTTGTTTTACACATATAGTTGAAATAAATATCCTTTAATATTTAAATATCCTCTAATAAATTTACTTACATTTGCTCCGGATATTTTATAAAGAAAGGAGGACGATAGTTAACTGCAACCACTAAATTATTTTTATGAGTTCTGAGCTGACTGCGTGTCAGTTGAAGACTGCGACTCGAAAAGGCAAACGTTATGAATATTTTCTAATAACAAGCCACTTATTAGAGTTACGACAGACTTACTAGTAACAACTAGAGATATAATATCCTTGTGTGATTATTAAATTAAGTTAAATTAATTAGTTAAATAATAATTAATCAAAAAATAATTAGAAAATGAAATAATTATTATTTCGCGAGAATTGACTTTGAACGAATTTATGTGATGTTTAGTTTGTAATAAGTTGACAGATTTTTTAATGAGATTCGACTGATCAAACTGAGCTGAGCTGAACTTATTTAGAATTGGGTTTGTACTAAACCGAAATATAAATGTTTAAATGCACTGAGCTAAACTGATCCACCAAAACCGAGCTACTGACTAAAATGCACTTCATTTTTCATAGACAGGTAATGAGAAATGTCCGCGCGAATTCTCGTCATTAAAGAGGAAAAAAAATGTTTCTCGTTACGCCAGAGAAATAATTGATAATTATGGATTGAAATAGCATCAATGTTTGTTTGTTTCTCGCGCGATCCAAGTTGTGCGCTTGTCTCATTCTGAACATGATACTTATCGAATGCTAACGAAAACTTACTTGGGCGTAACACAAATATCATTTCATAGACGTAACCTTTTACTTCGACGTATCCCGCAAGGATTTTCAGCAAACGTTTTCTCGCTTCTAACGTCGTTAATCAAGATGGCTGTGGCGAGGAAGCAGGACCCTCAGGGCTCACATTCAATATTCATAGTTAGATCTTACATTTAAGACCGCTTCAATTTTATTTTCAGATTCTTGGTTGAAATGAGTCGTACAGCGTTTGAAGGTAAACTTAAAGTGGCCTTAAATATAAGAACCGACTATGAATACCGGTCTTAAGGATGATTCGCTTTAGGAATTAAACGACGATTCCCGTGTTAGGCGTGATTCGGTGTCCATTACATCGACTTCAGGCCTCCCAGCGGTCGTTCGATACAGGTTTTACGGCTTCGACTGATTGCCATAAAAGCGTGTCGGACGTGGCAGTCCAGTCGGCGTATCGACGTATCCATTAAAAAGGAAGACGCTCGATATCGAGTATCGATATAATGCGGTGACGGGCTATCAACCGGGCGCGCAGAAATGTATTTCGCCACGCTTTATACACGCTTCTCGGAGCATGAGGATTTAAAGGGTTACTCGAGGTTGAAGAGCTGGAAAAATTGGACATTTTACTTAATTATTTATTTTTTCCATAACATTATAGTTAAACGTAATATACAATTGAACCCACATTGAAATCCGACCGGGAGGTGGATTAAAATCCTCCCAGGGCCAGAGTACACAAGTTCAATTTATAATAGATACGTTAAACATGCGTACGGAGCGTCTATGTACAATTATTTATTTTCATTTCATAAATAACTTTAAATAACTTATAAATAATTTGATAAATAATTTCTTATTTTATAAATAACTTCTTCATAGTATGTCGGAAACAATATGTCTGTTATACGAGAAATTAAATAAACACGAACTCTTGCAACTTCGTGTTAACAGATTCACGTAGAATCCGAACGAAAGTTGAAATGTTCTCGTTTAGGGAATAACGGGTGAGTTATTAACGACGATGCAATTATTAAAATCGTCTCATTTATGGCCGTCCTATATCTTTAATGAAAGCGACATTAGTCCACCATGTATTATGGAAATAATAGTGGGCATTAAGGTTAAGCCAAATTCTATCACAGCCGCGGAGGATATTCATGAGACACGTGATCGGCAAAAGTCGAGCGGACTAATCGATTTTTGATACAAGAGTGGAAAAATGAAGGAAAGAAAGAGTGAGACTACTGAATTCAAAAGAAGACACGTATTACGAGATAGAGGAATGACTGATTGAAAATATCGTGCGTAATTACAAGTTTATCATTAAAAAACAAATTCCGAAACTTTAAACGTGTTCTTCCCAAAATCATATTTTTGAAAGTGCTGTTGCGACGATAATTCAAATAATGATCAATCGATTTTGACTTCCTTCCACACAGATACAAAACAATTATCTATCGCGCATATTAGTCGTATTTTTCTAACTTTAATAACACGGAATAACAAGAGCAACGCATTTAAGAAATTCATGCTCTTTTTCAAGCTTATGTTACCTCTCAACTTTATATTTTTTACAAAAATCCTATGTAACGCACTAAACAGTATCTTATTAAATAAAAATGTTTACAAATTTTAAAATTTCACACTTCTGGGAGATATCGATATTATTTCGCACGACATGGGTCGACGCCGTCTTGCTAGCAGAGTCAATAAATTAATCTATCAACGGTGCTGATTGCTAGATTTTCAATATACACGGAATAACGTAATGAATAGTAAGTTCCTTCTCCCGTATCTTTCTCGCGGAAATAAGCCGGTCCTCCCTGATGTGTGGGTAACCCTTTGAGCTCCTCTCGCTTGCACGTGGCCGCGCATTATTTCGCGCGTTGTTTTACCGTTGCGTAACCGCTGAAACTCAGCGCGACCGGTGTCGCCGGGCCGTCGCACTCGCCCTTTGCACGCGAGCGTGATTTAGTTAGCTTGTAATTTTGCATTTGAATCGCCGGCCGCTCTTCACGCGCGGCCCGGCCGCTTTTTGCCGGGGCGTTAGCGATATTTTCGCGGCGGTTGGACGCGCCCCATTAATTCGCGAGCGATCGTTCCCTTCGTTCGCCGCGGCAACGAACGCGGAGTGATGCTCGCGGAGAATCATGGAGGATAAATCTCTCTCCCGCGCGATTGTTGCGCGGTGTTCATTGAATCGCGCAATTCCGCGCGCGGCTGTATGGACCTCGCGTAATTTTTACGCGGGACCGTCCAGACAGAATTATCCGATCGATCGGGGTTCGTGTTGACGTGAAAGTGTCGAAATGAATCCCGAGCCGATGCTCCTACGTTATGATCTCGTAAATGCCATTGAACTTGCCTTCTTTATAGCCGCTTTGTCGTCGTTTTTATTCGTGCGGAAAATCTCGGTAAGATATGAAAATTTGAAAGATGCGAAGGAGAAGAAATTGTAGGCTTAATTGTATCCTACGTCCTGTATTCCGTTCGAAAGC